CAGAATTGAGTTTGTGCAGCAAATTTTATGAAATAAATAAAACTAAGATTCAGAATTGGCTCAAATCATGAATACAATGTGAATTCTGTTCTCTTTACCTTATAATTTTATCTGTTGCTTTTTGGTTATGATTTCTGCAGCTGTGGGTATTTGATCACAAACAAGTATCTGTCAGAATGGATTTCACTCTCTCTCTCTCTCTCTCTCTCTCTCTCCCTCTCTCTCTCCCCCTCCCTCCCTCATCCCAATTCTGTTTCTAGGATCTGTCTTTGTTGCCCAGGCTGGTCTAGATCTTCAGCCTTTGTCTCCTTAGTGGTGGGATCACAGATGGGTATCAGCAGCCATGCCCAGCTAAATTCATTATGCTTTGTATAGATTCATTTTTAAAGCATAAAGACATGAATTTGCTATTAGAGGTGCTTGTGAGATGAAAGAAGGCACTGTTATTGTCCCAGGATGGCATGCTTAATTAAAGAATTAGTTCTGTGATAACTAGGACATGTGTGTGTTCCCAAGTGTATTCCCTGCTGCTTACCTTGATACCTAAAATTTCTATCATTACAATATTATTTAGAAGGTTATAACTCCAGGAATTCCCCTTCTGAATTATAGATCAATCACATCTATTTATCATTAATAATTTGTCATTAGCCCTTAACAACTGACCTGGTCCACAGAAGGCTCTAGACCAAAGATTAGCAAATTTATTTTCTGTAAAGGTTTACCCAGTAAATAGTTGGGACTTCATGGCCAATATAGTATCATTAGTAATTATTCAACTCTATTGTTATAGTAGAAATGGACACGGCTATGTTTTAATAAAAATTTATTTATGAAAGTAGAAAGTGGTAAGAATTTGACGTATAGGCTATCTTTTGCCTACACCTGTTCTAAGTTGTAGGAGACAAACAGATGAGGTTACATTCCAGGATCATACTACTTCTCAATTGTTCATCTTGAAAGTGCACAAAGGCCCACATAAAATTATGCATTCCCAACCATTTGCTGAGGTAAATTCAGCTGTGATTTTTAACTTCTGGCTGTCCATAAGTGGCAGACTGTGTAAGGAGATTCTATTAATAGCTCTGGGTTCCTGAATACGTGGCTTCGAACTTAGATTTGTGACAGTGGTAGAGTCTAGAATGTACCACAAACCTTCAAAGTCAGACTGCCTGGCTCCAAAGCAACTCCATGCACATTATGGGCCCCAGGCTGATGCTTCGATGCCTCCCTGACCTTGTCTGGTTTCCAGTCTCACTACTTACTGTACTTATTCATTACTCTCTTGATGGAACTCAGGCCTGCGGCTCTTTTATTCTTATATCATTGGCCACTAGCTGTAGGATATTAAGTGTTCCTCTTTCTTACCATCCCGGGTTCCTAGCTGTACCCCTAAATAATTATCTTCTACACAACCTAGTGGTCCATTCAGGGCTTTCACCAAGTATTTCACTTATGAAAACATTTTATCCACATTTTTCATATATCCATATATTCTTTTCAAGTTTAAATACTTCATCTTCTTTCTAATCCTTCTCAATTCAATACCAAAAGAACTTAAAGTTTTTGAGAGGTGTGGATGGTACCACATGCTTATAGTCTCAGTTTAGGGGGCTGAAGCAGATGTTTGGGAGAGTGAAGACATACTTGGCTACAGAGTGAAATTCTTTCTCAAAACAACAGTGATAACAAATAAACACTAGCATCTATGATTTTAAAAATGTAAAAATGTAAGTGAACAAATATTGTGAGTGTTGTCCTATATATGTAATGGCATGAGAGGCTTTCCAAGGAAAAAGGAAAAAGAGAAAATCAAGTCAACAAATTCAAATCTGAAGTATGCCGCATAGAGGTAAAATAACACTTGCTTTGAGCTGCTAAAGAACCTAAGTAAAGGGGAAAAATTATAGATTTAATAATTCCCTCCATCTAGAAGAAGGAATCACATTTGGCCATCAAAAAAATTCTGATCCTGGGCTTTAAAGTTTGAATTATTTTATTGAGAGAGAAAGGGGGAAGGGAGGAAGGGAGGAAGGGGTAGGAGATGAACATGAACATAAGAATTGGCCCATGAGATTATGCATATGTATATTCTACACTCATGCATAATGTATGCATTATGTATTATACATGCATGTAGAGGCCAGGGACAATGTTAGCTTTTATACCTCAAATGTCACCCACCTTGTTTTTAAAGACAGTGTCAGGGTCTCTCATTGACCTGGGACTCAACAAGTAGGCCAAGCTGGCTGGCCAGTGACTGTAGGGAATCTGCTTGTCTCTGTCTCCACAGCGGTGGAATTACTAGCATGTGTCACCTCACACAATATTTTTATTACATACTCCAGTGAATCGAACACAAGTCTTTTTGTTTGTGTGGCAAGCACTTTGCCTACTGAACTGTGATCCCAGCCTTAAATTCTTTATTTATAAATCTTACATTTTTTATTTGTTTTTTAAGACAGACTTTTCTCTGTGTAGCTTTGGAGCCTGTCCTAGAACTTGCTCTGTTCTAGGCCTCAATTCACAGAGATCACCTACCTCTGCCTCCCAAGTGATGGGATTAAAGTTGTGCATCACCACCACCCTTTTAAAAAATAATTTGTTTGTATTTTATGTACATTAGTATTTTACCTGTGTGAAGGTGTCAGATCCCCTAGAACAGTGGTTATAGACAGTTGTTACTTGCCATTTGAGTGCTGGGAATTGAACCCAGGTCCTCTAGAAGAGCAGCTAGTGCTCTTAACTGCTGAATCATTTCTCCAGCCCCTCTTTTTTTTTTCTTTTTTTTCATTCATTTATTTAGCTCATAAATAAAGTCATGCACAATTATGATACACAATACAGTATGTTCACAATGGCATGGCTAAATTAAACCAATTAACATGTTATATCACCCATATTCATCATTTTTGTTTTGAGAACACTTAAAGTATACTATCTCACAACTTTTAAAATATAGCATATTGTTATCAACCATATTTATCATGCTCTCAGTAGACCTCAAGACTTCACAGAGTCCATGCCTCTTGTCCAACTGCAGTTTTATATCCTTAAACCAATCGTTTCCCCATTGTCAAAAGACCCACATTGAAGCCTAATAGCCACAATTCTGCTCTCTGTTCCCATAAGTTCATCATTTCTAGGTTACACATAAAATTGAAATTGTGTGACATTTGTCTTCCAGTGTGTCACTTATTTTTTTTTTTTTTGGCAAGCATATAACTTTACTACTTACTAAAGATGAAATCAAATTTGCATGCACAGGAGAGCACTCACTGAAACACCTTGGATTCATCACATAGTTGAGTTTCAATATATATATATATATTGAAATTCAATATATATATTCAATATATATATATATAGAGAGAGAGAGAGAGAGACAGAGAGAGAGAGACAGAGACAGAGACAGAGAGAGAGAGCGCAATGATGGCAATATGTTATGCATCAATAGCAGCAACAGGTTTTCCTGGTTCTGCAGTCATTTGAACAAAATTGTAGAGACATCCAGCACATTCCATTTAAAAAACAAAAAACAAAAACAAAAAAACAAACAAACAAACAACAACAAAAAAGTAAAAAACAAAATCCCAGAAAACAGCGAAGTTCTGTTACTCTTGTGGTACTTGACACCATCTTTTTTTTTTTATTAGCTTCTCAGTCATCATCTGGGAAGAAACCATTCTGGGCACCATCATTAAAAACATCTCTGATAAAGCATGGTCACTACTATGTATCATAAAGCAGGTCCACATATGAGTGAGTACTTATCATGTTTGTCTTTTTGTGATTGGGTTACCTCGCTCAGAATGGTTTCTTCGAGTTCCATCCATTTTCCTGCAAATTGCAAGATTCCATTGTTTTTTTCTGCTGAGTAGTGCTCCATTGTATAAATGTACCACAATTTCTCTATCCATTCTTCGGTTGAGGGGCATCAAGGCTGCTTCCTGTTTCTGGCTATTACAAATAATGCTGCTATGAACATGGTTGAACATATGTTCTTGTTGTATGAATGTGCTTCTTTTGGGTATATGCCTAGGAGTGGAATTGCTGGATCTTATGGTAGACTCATTCCCATTTTCTTGAGGAGTCGCCATACTGATTTCCACAGTGGCTGTACACGTTGGCACTCCCACCAGCAGTGGAGGAGTGTTCCTCTTTCTCCACATCCTCTCCAGCATAAACTGTCATTGTATTTTTGATTTTAGCCATTCTGACAGGAGTAAAATGGTATCTCAGAGTTGTTTTGATTTGCATTTCCCTGATGACTAAGGATGTTGAACAAGCAAGCCAGTTAGCAGCACTCTGGTGTGGCTTCTGCCTCAATTCCTGCGTCCGGGTTTCTGCCTTGAGTTCCTTCCCTGATTTTCCTCATTGATGGAGTGTGACCTAAGAGTTTTAACTGGAATAATGCCTTTCATCTCCATGTGACTTTGGAACATGGAGTTTTATCACAGCAATCGAACCCCTAAGACAGCCATTGAAAGAATGCTGGCCCAAATGGCTGCATTTAACAGATTTTTTTTTTTAATGATACTGTCATCATCCAGGACAACGTAGTCAGAAGCACTGGGCTTTGATTTTCTTTTGCACAGCAATCTATGCTTTTCTTCTTGCATGAAATCCATTTGCACATGCCTCCTTGGTAATAAAATGGCAGGATTAAGCCTAGAGCATGAGTTTTTAAGAAGGAAGAACTTGCTGTACTTTAGGCAAAATAATGGAAAGAAATTACAAATAATGAAATATCAAGAATGCAAACCCAGGTACCAAACAAATCTGGTAAAGTGATATTGGCAATGTCTGGTAAGTAAGAAGGCAAGCACAAGATGTGGATTAGACCTTTCTTCTTTTATCTTGGCACCTCACCACTTAAAATGGCTCTTTAATCCTCAATTAATGTAATGATCATTACAGAGATGAAAGCTGTTATTGCATCATGTTAAACTGTGGGAAGCTTTAAGTGACCTGGATTTACCTTTCTCTGTATGACACAGGTGGTGAAGTTCACCAAATCCTTTGAACTGATGTCCCCAAAGTGCAGTGCTGATGCTGAGAGCAGGTAAGGCTTATGGTCTCCTGCTTGTCTATTGATCGTTTGTCCTCGGTGTTTGCTGTGTTTGATAATTCCTTGAAGATGGAGTTACTCTTTCCCTGTATCATCAAGTGCATCCATTTATCACTCATTTGAACTTCAGGACTTAAATAAAATCTACTGCTGAACAAATGAGTGTGTGTATGATACATCTCCTTTGCCCTGTGTTTTTAAGACAAAGTTTTAGAACAAGAACGTCTGGTGGTGCTAGCCTCTTAGCCTCTCTGCTTGGGAGACTGCGTCAGGCAAGGCACACCATGGCTGTGGAGTAAGACCAAGGCCAGCTTGGGAAACTTAGTGGGATCTTGTCTCAAAACAAATACTGAGAGGGGGTCTGAGGGTCTAACTCAGTAGTAGAGAGCTTGCTGGAGTGTGCATGAAGTCTCTGGGTTCACTGTCAGTAGTGCAAAAACAGAAAATACTAAAATTTAATACTTGTGATGTGGTTATAATCTTGCCTGCTCTTTCCTGAACTTTATAATAGTTTGAGACTTAAAAATGAGCTGAACTCAGAATTGCTATTGCAAGCAGTGTGGAATAGCAGTGGTGGAAGCCTGTTTTCTTCAACCCCTTGTCGTGTGTGTGTGTGTGTGTGTGTGTGTGTGTGTGTGTGTGTGTGTTTTCTCACGCTAAGCATTTGCACCAAACATCTAACATTGAAGCTGTGAATAACATTCATTTTTAAAAAATCTTTCCTAATTATTCAGAAAACACAACTTTCTACTTTATTCTGGCCCTTTTATTCTCTTTTGCTTGCTCATATTTATTTATTTATTTATTCATCTGTGTATTTATTTACTTATTGGTTGTTTGAGACAGGGTTTCTCTGTGTAGCATTGACTGTCCTGGAACTCACTTTGTAGGCCGGGCTGTCATCGAACTCACTGAGATCCACCTGGCTCTGCCTCCCAGGTGCTGGGATTAAAGGTATGCCCACTTGTTCATATTTATTTAACTAAGAATATCTTCTCCTGACAAGAAACAGGGAGTTTCCTGCAGTTTGTCTCTGTTGGCATCTTTGAGGCTATAACAATAAAAGTGAGGGTCAGGTATGACCAGTGAGTACCCCTTAGCTTTGCACTTCTGGAAATAATAGCTGGGCTACTACAAAAGTTGATTCTCTTGACGTTAGTCATCTCTGGAGGAAAGCCTAAGAAGTGATAAAAATTAAGCAAAATGCAAAGATTTAGCGAAAGGAGGTTAAGTGCTAAAGACAATATGAGGATGTTACTGCTGCTACTGACATCAGTCTCAATAGTACAAGCAGCTTCTATTCATTAAGTGCCAAGTGTGCTGATGAGAGTGTTTCACATACCCAAGTCTTTTGAAGTAGACGTAGTTAACCCTAAGAGACAGAAGTGAAAATCAAGGGTTGACAATGTCCTAGCTGGCCTTAACTGTCAACTTGACACAACCTAGAAGCACCTAAAAAAGGAATCTCAACTGAGTGATTGTCTTCATCAGGTTGGTTGTGGGCATGTCTGTGAAAGACTGTGTTGATTGTCTACATTGATGTAGGAGGTTCCAGATCACTGTAGGTGGCCCCATCCCCTAGGCATGTAGTCCAAGGCTATATAAGAATGCCAGTTAAGCCCAAGCAAGTGAGAAAGCCAGAGACTGGGCAGCAAGCAGCAACCCTCCATGGTTTCTTCTGTTAGCTGCTGCTGACTTCCTATCCTGACTTCCCTCATGGTAGACTGTGACCTGGAAGTGTAACCCAAGTAAATACTTTCCTTCCCAAAGTTGTTTTTCTCAGAATGTTTTATCACAGGAGTTAAAAGGAAACTAGAATAAGCAAGTTTGTCACTTGACCAAGGCCCTGTGACAAATAACAAGGAGCCTTACAGTCAAGGACAATAGAACTCTTCTGAACTTTAAACTTTGATTCTGTTGTGACATTTAACTTAAAATCTGACAATTGACCCCATACAATGAATATCTCTTAGGTTAATGTTTCCCAGGTCTAGTTGATCAATCAGAATCAAGTTTGGAGAATTTGGCAAAAACTTAATTCTCAGGTGTATACTGAGATATTCGTATTAAATATATTGGAAATGAAACACCAAGATCTATATAGTCAAAGGGCCATCCTGGTAAAATCCTGTATCAATACCCAAGGAAGACTAGATTATTTTTTTAAAAAAAAATGTATTATTGCCTTTAATTTTAGAAAATAGATACCATCTTAGTTACTTCCAGAAACACCAGACAAAAAACAACTTTAAAAGGAAGGAAGGAAGGTTTGCTCTGGCTTACAGTTTGAGTATAAGTCTGTAATGGCAGGAGAGTCATGGTGGCAGACACATGAGGCAGCTGGTCATATCCCATTCAGTCAGGAAGCAGAGTCATGAATGGGTTTACTCACGTCACTTCTGCTTTTATTCAGTCCAAGCCCCCAGCCCACAGTACCACCTACACTTAGGGTGAATCTTCCCACCTCAGGTATTCTAATCTAGAATATCTGCCACAGATCTGTCAAAGGTTTGTCTCCTAAGTGGTTCTAGGTCCTCAAAGGTTGGAAATCAGATCAGTGTTTGCCATCACACGTATTTTTATCAGCTGTATGAAATTAAGGGAGGGCTCTGCTACACAGTACGTAATTCCATTTATAGGGCCCTCTTTCAACAAGCACAATTAAAGCAGCAGAAACCAGAGCAGTAGCGGATGGAGGTAGAGGAGAGAGCTTGAGAAAGGAAGACAGGGGTGGAGCTTGTGGTAGCATGTCTCTGTCTCACTAGTGACGATGCTTGAACTGATAGATACAAAGACATTTGAAAGAATTCACAGAACTCATACTAAAAATGACTTGGGATCTCTGTGGTTTACAATTTAAACACATGTTACAATAGCAGGATGAAGCTTTTAAGGGAAGTTTTTATATTCATGAACATGCAGTTGTGTTGACATCTGTATTTCATGTTGACCAATCCCTACCTAACAAAGACACGTAAGTATAGAGTCACTGAGATATACTCTGGAATTTTCCTAAATAGAATGTTGTAAAATAATTAAGATGTTAGAGAAAATATCTATGGATGCTAACTGCATTAGTCACATCTCACATGCTGTGTCTGCCATCTGTGTGGGCTCTCTGCAGTTACTGGAGCATCTCCTTTAACATCCCATGCTTCAGGATTGCTGATTTTTCTACTTCTGCGCATGTTCACTCGGTCACTTCAGAGTGAAGCATTTCTGGCCTAACAATTATTTCCAAGAACTTCCATGTCAAAGTGAAATGACCCAAGGCTCAGGGTGCCCTTGAAATACTTTCTGATAATAAAAATAAAGGTCAGCTTTTCTTTAAAAAGACATTTAAAAATGCCTTTGAACTCTGACATTCTGAGATAGTCCCGTTCATCTTTCTATTTATGGCTTCTAAATTAATGGAGGATGTTCATCTAGCTCAGAAGACCTTCCATTCTTTGCCCAGTAATTTTCCTCTTGCAGATGTGGAGTCCTCCAGGAATATATTGGAAGTGAACGGAATAAAGACAGCAGCTCCAACACGGAGTTGGCCAGAGGCACGGTGGGGGTGTTGAAACAAGCTCCAAGGCTCCAAATCACAGCCTGTTCTGTACACATTGTCAGTCTTTCCTTTTGCCTTGAAGCATATAATATCTTCCCTGCAGATGAGGTCCATTAAAGCCCCTGGGCCTGGGAACATCACTCAGGATTATAACAGCACAGCTTTAGAGGGGGGTTCCTATAGCTTCAGGTAAAGATTCTTCGGGACACTACTGCCTACTAATAAACTCCAGTTTGAGCCTTGCTGATTCTTAGCTATAATCCTTGAGACTTAATATTTAACAAATCGGTTTTATCACTGACTCATCCATTCCATTTAGGCTCCTAAGCAACCAGGTTCTTTGTCATAGAGTTGTAGTGTCTCTGCCTATAGTCTATATTCAACCAGGTCTGCAACTGGAAGTTGTTTGCACTATCTCTCTCAGTGAGACACAAACCAGGTTTAGGACATCTTTGACAATACCTCCTTCTTACTGTGTCACCTCAGGTTTCTTCTACTGATAGGAAATGCATTTGCATTGCATTAGCTTCCTATGACTTCTACCTTATTAAAATTTGTTTGTAAGTTTATTCACCTCTTTATATACTGATGGTCTGTTGCTCAGGGCTGGGAACTGTGTTAGATGATGGGGCTATGGAGACTTAAAAGCAGAACAGGAGTCTGTCCTAATGGTCAACAAACAGCGAAAGTGGAAAAGGAACATAGTAGAATATAGTAAAAACATAATATAACATGAAAAAATGTCACCAGATCTGACCCAGCCTCCAGACTATAACTACAAGGAATCACATTAACAGTGATAACTCCTATTGCTACTCAGTCAATTCTCCTTTGTGAGTCAGGTGTCCAGAACCTTGTAAAAATAACCTTTAAAGATTTCAGCATCTCTGGGATGCCTTGAAACCAAGTTTATTCTGAATCATCATTTCTCCCAAGCACTCATACACAGCAACTGTCCTTTTGGACATGGCTCAATACAAACTGCTGGGATGGGGCTCCCGTCTGCTCCATCCTAGAACTCCCAAGTATATCACAGGAGTATTGGCCACTGTTCTGCCACAGCTCCCAGCACTGTCTTAGATGTACCAGTTACTTTCCAAAACCTGAACAAGACTGATAATTTGTGTGGAAATCAGGGTAGGTGTGCTTTCCCTAACATGTGACCTAGTGTGTTGCCTGGCCCTAATTGGCCATGTGTGTATCCTGCTTTTTATAAACTGTTGAATTCTGAAAGCTTTTGTCTATAGACCTTTTTTCTCCATGGGACCCAGACTTAATCCTTTAGGCCAGGGTTACTAATGGGTGCTGGTTAGTTTTTTGTCCACTTGACATAATTAGGGTCATCTGGGAAGATGAAACCTCAGTTGATAAAATACCTCCATCAGCTTGGCCTGTAGGCAGATCTATGGGGCATTTTTTTTTAAATTAGTGATTAATGTGG